AACTAATGCAATAATAGCAGCTGGACGTGCATCTAAAATATTTACAAGATAATACAATGAACGAGCCAAGTAACCATGGTCATTTTGGAGGAGCTCCAGAGATCCACAGCTCAAGTTGGCTATTAGTCAGGTACTCAAACAACTCTGTCTGGTTTTGATGAGGAAGAGGGAAGAAAGACAGTTTTTTGCACATCACCTTGAGCGTTCAATCCCCATAATGAAACATGGTGTTGTCAGCACCATACTACTGCCATCAGAAGAGAAAACAAAGTCATTTGAGTTGGAAAAAAGCTGGTTGACCAAAAAAAACATGGGCGGTCAGAGAAGAACCTGTTAAAAACTGCAAACGACTGAATGCTGCAGGATACTGCCTCTCATTGACATACGTTAGAATGGCCTAGTCAAAGTCCCATCCAGTTCAGTATCAGCAAGAATTGAAAATTACTGTTCAAGAGGCTCTCCATCAAACCTGACTGAGTTTGAGCTATTTCACAAAGAATAAAGGAGAAGAGAAGGATTTTGACAAGTAGAGGTCAACATTATATTAAATTGCAACCATTATCATAATGTCACTGTGTGCAATCAATCCCCATTTTGTATCCCAATCAATACAAAATAGACTCATTATTTGACAGGATGCTACATTTCAAGTGCAATGCATGCTTGATAAAATGTATGGCCAACTATATGGAATGTATATTCCCTCAAACCACCAACTGATGTCTAGTTTCAGAAATTGAGATGTTAAAGCTCATGGAGGGTAAAGGAATAATCATACTTTTTCACGTCATCACAGCTATTTTCAGGAATATTATTGAGTCTGCATATTTTCCTGAAATTGTGCAATAAAATCAATCAGATTCCCGAAGTTAGTTTCAAACAACTGAACCAAATTTTAGCTTCTGGAAGCAAACTAGCAAGCAGTAATGGTAAATCTTCCAACAAAGACAAGCCACATGAAAGTTTCTATTCAAAAAGTATTTTAATAACTTTTGAGGGGGGAGAAAAAAAAAATTTGCTCTTCAAATTGTTACTTGAGTGAAGAAGATGCTACACCATGATGTTTACAAAATAGAAGAAATGCCAGCTTATGAAATAGATAGCAGGTCTTACTGGAGTGTGCAAACAGCTGTCCTTTGTAACAGTGGCTATTACTTTAACCTATAGTTTCTGACCAAATGCATCAATGCAGACTGTAACTGTGGCGCTCAAGTTTTAATAATTTCTTGCACTTTTTCCAATAGTCTCCCCTCCTTAAAGTTGTTAGAAAGTTCCCACAAAAACTTTTAGCACAATAGGCGACAAGAAGCTGTAAATTCAAATTATATGACTGGTGGGGTGTTTTTCTGTAAGTGTTTGAAGTTTTACACTGCACTGAATGTCAAGTGTCTCAAACCAGCTGCTCATCTGAAACGCACACACACACACAAACACACTTTGTGTACCCAGAGGGAAGATGATGTCATTAGCAGTGTACATTTTCCCCTTTAATTAGAAACTCGAGCTTCCCACCATAACTTGGAGATCTTTACATGCAGCCACTCGACAACCGAGGGGCTAACAAAGCGAATGTTTAATGTTTCCGCTAAAGAGCAGTGTTCAAATGGTTGTGCTGTTCAGGAAGGCACATACAAAATCCTAATAGCTGCTGTGGTGGAGCTGACTGACATATAACTGATAAAAAGCACATGAGTGACCAACTGTAAACTAAAACCAGACAATGTTCTGTGGTTTCTGCTTGCTCTTTGTAGCAGCCATTGATGTGGTTCAAACAAATCAGATTAAATACTTACTCAAACAACACAAACAACAACAAAAAAAGGTCAAACTGAAGAAAAAGGATTAAAATTATGGCATTACTTTGCAAGCAGTAGATTGTGCAGTCTTTGACAAGTTCATTTATTAGCTTTTTTCCCCCTGATTATTAAGATACAAAAGGCTGGGTAAGCAAAACAAGCAGAAGCATGGTGTAAGGGTCATAAAATCAACATGCTTCTGCAAGTTTTTCTTAGTACTGTCTTGCATCCCAAACATCATCATCAGCGCACCCTCTGGTGCTGTAAACCAAGCAAAAAGGCATAAATAGCACTTTATTTAGCCATGATAATGATGTTAGGACTCCCATCAACGACTCAGATGAAAACTGCAGCGAATGGCTCTCTGCATTTGGCCTTTCCCTCAGGGAGATAGAAGATGTGTTGTTGCTCTGCAGGAATCAGACATATTGCTGCTTTGAAACCAGTAAAATGAAACCAGTAAAATTACAGTCTTTCTCATTTAATTTTTCAGTTCCTTGCATTATTTGTTCAACTTTTTCAAATTCTCAACCTCAAACCTTACTGTCTTTAATTGGTATTTTATTAAATACATTCAAACTAGAGAAAAATTGTAAAATTGGAGAAAAAAAGGGATCATGTTCTGAAACGTGTGGCATCCATTTGTAATCAGCCCCCTGGAATCAGACCAATTAAGAATGCACTCGAACAACCCCAGACAGCTCTTCATCAATATGCTCTAAAACTCTGGATGTTAAGAAGAGAGAACATTTTATCAAAAAATAAAAATAAAAATGGCAAAAAGATGTCCTGTTTGCAGTTTTTAATGAGTCAAGTAGAACAAAGCATGAGTGGCAGCATCATGGTGTGGGGTGCATTTTTTCAGTAAGCTGGTCAGAGTTAATGGGAACATGGATTGAGCTAAACACAGGACAATCCTGTTGAAATTTGCAAAAAATTTGAAACTCTAATCATATAGATAGCCGTAATTATGATTGATAAGTGTAGATCAGGGGTGTGCAACCTGCAGCTCTGGACTCAAAAGTGACTCAATTATTTTGGTCCGAATTGATTAAGAAAGTACTTAAATACAGATATAATATCAAATATAGATTTTAGTAGGCCTGTAATGATTCCTCGGTTGCTTTGAGTACCTTGATTATTAAAATTCCTCAAGAAAAATTTATCTGCCTCGACGCTTCATTGGTTTTATGTTTAAATATGTTTCCCATAGTTGATATTTATCAAAAGCTATAAGCTGTCTTTTTTCACAAAATTGGTGACTCAAGTTTTATTTAGGTGGACTGAGGATAGAAAGGGCTCTTTGGATTGTAAAGGTTGCAAACCCCTGGTTTAAATAAAAGATAATTAATTTGTTAAAATATTCTAGTCAAAGGCAGTAGTTCAAGCTACAAATTCAAGCCACACTTTTTAGATTTTGTCTTGTAAAAAAATGTTTTAAAAATTTATAATTTACGTCCACTTTACGTAAATTAAATTTATGATGGTGTAATTACATAAAATACCCATAAAATACAATGAAGCAGGGCAAAAATGTTATGCATGTTTCTGCAAGGCACTGTAATACCTTTAAATTTATGATTAAATTAAATTTATGATGGACTAATTACATAAAATACCCGTACAATACATTGAAGCTTGTGGTTATAACAAGGCAAAAATGGTATGCATGTTTCTGCAAGGCACTGTAATGTCAATCAAATTTATGGAGTTAAAGTTAAGAGCAAAGACATCAAAATAAATCTGCCTTCAGACAAATCACCCTAACAAGAGCCTAAAAATTGATGAACCTGAAAGAAAATAACACAGAATTTACGTTTAAAACTGTCACTTAAGGCTTTAAAGTTGTCAAAAAAAAGTAGGTTAACTCATCTGCTGAGAAAAATCCCTTGATGTGTTCAAAAGCTCTTGAGCAGCTGCTGTGAGAACCGTGTGGAGAGATTATTGCTGCGTCAAGTCTTTATTTTTTACCACAGAAGTGTCTCTCAGCACAACTAAAAGATCATCTCTCTCTCAAGAAAGTGAGAATAAAGCACTCCCAGCAGATGATCTGCATCAAACAGAATTACATAGACGATCAAAACGACACGTGCTCGCGTATTAAAGTCAGGATAAATCTATTTAGAGGCACGCGTGATTTGTTTAGTCTGGCCTCTAAGTTGTTTGTGCTCCTGATCCCACTCAAACCAACTCTTGACACTCATTCAAAATAAAGTCTGCCTATGACGGGTTGTGGTGGGTCACAGTGGACCCTGAGGCCGCATGGTTCTGTCCTTGGAGGAGAAACTGTTCACTTTGAAGTGTGCTATTGCATAACAATCATACCTATTTTCCTTCTGTCGTTTTAAACTTAAGCTTCTAGTCTTCTGTCTGGGAAATAACATGCATTAATTAGTTATTTATTTGCATGAGCAAAGAACTAAAAAGCAGTGAAGGTACAGACACACACAGTTGAGGCTTGGAAAACAGAGCTTTGGTTACATGCAGATGGATATATTTCAGGTCAATCCTACAAAGCTGTGAACCTACTGCCTCATGTCATCTGTATTTGCCCTAATGAGAGCGCAGGGGTCAGCCAGCTACCCCATTCTCTTCATACCAGCCAGCTAAACTGGGCGTCAAGGTCTGTGGATTGGTTTACACTGCACAAGATATATTGATGCACTTGTCAATTTTTCTGAAAAATCTGTTTGGCTCAAGTTGAAGTCCTGCCCTTGTGTTTATGGACAATATGCACAGCCAATCATAACCATCCTGTCCTCTAGAAATGACTTTACAGGGCAAGTACTGTATGACTTTATGGCTTGTTTCTTGCTTTGCAGGCACAAGCCATAAAGATGTCAGATAAGTCATACAAAGACAAACATTTTTTTTAAAAAAAGGAAAACAAATAAAATAAAAAATATATTACAATTTATTAACACTTAAATTACTTCCAACAGTGAGGTCGCTGTGCCATCAACATATGTACATAGACTTCATCTCATTAATTACATATCTGACGAAAATACAATGTAAAAATCACAAACCAGAACGGCAAAAAGTAAAAAAGAGAAAATGAATCACCCCGATTTACCGATCATGGATCAATTCGTCCCACCATGTGATCGCTGTCCCGAACTTCCCAATCAAAATATCTCCCACATGAGCCCGATTCAAACCGACCCGCGTCAAGTTTAACAAGAACAACCAGCCTGGACTCACCTCATTCACCGGGGTCATCCACTGTGTTTGATTCCCAAATCCAGTAAACGTGTAGAGATCCGTGTGTAACGTCAGATGTTGAGCGAGGCGCTCCGCTCCGCTGCTGCATCTGTAACACACTGAGCACCGGAGAGGGAGTCCCGACTCCGACCTCCCCCCTCTGAGGAGGAGGGAGGGAGGGAGGACGGCCAGGTAGGAGTGAGTCGAGTTCCCGTAAAACAACACCAATGATGAGGTTTAGTTTCTGTCTTTAATTTAACCTGATAAAGACAAAAACTGCGGGTGCTTTCATTTCTCAGAGACATGTTGTCACCATGTTATTCCTACATTTATGAAAGCTCCAAACTGCATGTTTTAATCGTGTAAACGAGTCTTTATAAAACAAACAAACAAACAAACAAAAGAAACAAACAAACAAAAGAAAAAAAACTCTAGCAAGGAGGAAGTCATTGTTGGAAAAAAACAAACAAAATATACATAAGTTAACCTCAAGACATTTATGGGGCACAGCGAACATGTTAGAAAACAAAATTGTACTTTTACGTTTATATATCCATGGAAATTAAATTAAAGCTACATCATTCTGATCACAACATGGCTACTGTGAAACAAGGGGCGGAGTCAGGGGTTGGGCCAGAACAAGCAATTCCCCTCCAAAACAGTTGGTGGCAGCAGAGATGTATGCTTACACAGCATATATAAAAAATATATAATATAGACACAAATTTGTCCTATTCAAGAAAATGTTTTCTGCCTTTAGTGAATTATTTGGAAAATATATCCATCGATCGATCACCCTTGAGTGAGCAATGATCCCAGCTTTATGAAATGTTCCTAACTCCACCACTTGGCGAGCCAGTGCTGGATCCTGATGGCAGTATCATGCAAGGGTGATTTATTATTTTTTTTTTTTATTTTTTATTAGCAACCAGGGAAGCTGTTGAGAATTGATAGGGTGATGGATGGAGCTAAGGAAATCCTGGAAGAGAAGCTTCTGCATGATGTTCACCTCGCTGCAGGACAACAAACAGTCAGAGATGCAATGGAATGGTTTAGATCACATCATGTTGATATTTTCGAATAGTTCAGTCAAACATTTGAAAATTGATGTTCACAGAGCCTTCCAAGGTGACTTAGCTTGAGTCATTTTGCTAATCAGTCAGGATCCCACAGCTGGATCCAGACATTTGAAGCAAATTTTGATTTCTGGGAACAAAACAGTAAGCAGGCATTGTAAATCTTCCAGTAAAGATAAGCCACATAAAAGTGTGAACGAAAAAAACACTTTAAAAGTGAATTTTTTTTTTTTTTGCAAAAATTTCTCTACTCATCAAATTGTTACTTCAGTGAAGAAATCACACCCAAATGTTTCCAAAACTGCAGAAATGTCAGCCTGTGAATAGTTTCTACATCTGCACCACAGAAAGATATTCCAGAGAAAGCTTGCTGCAATTGCAGAGAAAGAAGAACTGAAGGAAAATGCATGCCACAGTTTTCTTATTTTTAATTTGAAGCATGTTAAAACCCACATAGATTTCTTGAGAAACGTCTGTTATGACAGCTATTAATCAACAACAATAAAGCAAAGTTTGCAGCAAGACCAATGCTGAAAACTGGACACTTTTCACTTCTACAATGAATATTTACTAAAAGTATTGCATATGCACAATCAATAAAAGGATTATTATCAGTTTTAAAGCATTTCAAGGGATGTCCTCGGTTGTCAAGTTTGAGGTTTGTTTCATGAACTTGGTTTACAGAGAATAAAGTGATGTTTACTGGAGATATTTGACTAAAGCTCAGATGAAGCAGCATAGTCTACATTTTCCAGGAAATCATCAAAAAAAGAGACACGTCAGAAGGCCTCTGCTTGTACTGAGTTAGCTAAATTAGGGGAAAATATTTTCCTACTTGTATGTGAAATGATAGATGCTATAGGGGGGAACATGAATCAGACTTTGGCTGATTTCAGGGGAAATTGAATGAGTGTTGGGAAGTCAGTTGCAGGATTTTCATGTAGGTAAAACTAGTTCTAGAATTAACATAGTCGGCATAGCTTTTTAAACTGCAACTTCCAGCATAGTGCCTGAACATTCACTATAGTTCTCATTTTGATCAGCTGATGATGCTTTAGAGAAAATCTACCTCCATTCGATATTAAAAGAAACTAAAAAAGAAGTAACATTGTCACCCAAATGTATTGCTTTTAGGCAGCTTTGGAATTCATAGAAAATTGTGCAATAACCAAACCAAATTTCTAAATCTGCAACTATAAATTCAAACATTGCTGACCTTCGGGTGCTGTAAAAATCAGAGGTGCACATTCAAGTTTTTTTAGGTATACTGGACACAGTCCAGGATGTCTGTGGAAGTTTATCATAATCCCATCAAATGGCCAACACAATTACTCCGCTTGAATGAGAATTTTTTTTCTCTTATTTTATAAGGTGCAGTTTAATTAACCAATCTCTGATGAGTTGTGCTAATTGTTGCACTTTAAAAATTGAGTGAAAGACCTTAAACTGGCCACTTCACTCATTCCATTCATTGATTTTTAGCTTTCAAAGCATCACCATCAGCACTTTGCAGGCTTGATTGAGATCCATGATTCAAACAAATAATCAAAGGTCCACAGAGCTTGAAAAAACCTCTTCACACCATCTGTCAGCTTTACTATACATTTATTACGCTGTGGTTTTTGTGGCACTTGACCTTTCACATCTGCTTATGACTGTTTTTGTTGGTTACTGTGAATAAATGTGGGCTTATCTTTTGTTGCTTTTTCACTTTCCTACACTTTTTTCTCTCTGCTCACACTCCCACCTCTACCATCTTTGACATAACAAAACTTTGTGGTTCAGCCAGGCCAGAGAAAAGAGAGGGAGGGTGAGATAAAGGAGCAGGAACACCTGTTTCTCATTCAGTTGCTCATCGCTTCTGACAGCCCAGAGAAACTGGTGAGAAAGCACAGTGCAAGAGAGCCACTGAAAATATGTTACAGAGTTTATAAACTGACTCCAAGTGCTCCGGCCTACATGAGTCGTATTGATCATAAATCAAGCGCAACCTGAACTCTTGCTCCCCATTTTCTACAGTAGAAAGCAGTTGAATGCTTCCAGCACAACTATAAGGTTATATGACTAGATGGGGATGATTTAAAATGTAAATCTTGAAAGTCCAATCTCAACGAAGACTTAAAAGAGTGAATGTTTGAACAAAAGAAATCAAGTTTTCACCTGCAGAAAACTGTTATTTCCCACAATAGACGTCTGCAGCGCGACGTCTGAGCAGGTCGTCACGCTGCATTGAGGGCATTCCCAGACTGGAGCCGTGGTCGTTCTCTGCCGCATCTGCTCTTTATTTATTCACCTCTGCCCTCCCAGGCCTGACACAAGGAAGCCACGTTTCCTGCTGTGAGAAGTGGACCGCAGCTACCAGCTTGTTTGACGCCATCTCTACTCTCTGAGACCCAACCTTCATTCATCCACATTTGGAGCAATGACGTAACAGGTGTCTAATTCCTCACTTGATTCCTGGTGCCAGTCAGCTATTTAAGACCCTGTTAACGCAAGGTGATAAGCTTGCAAAGCCTGTGAAACATCACGTACAAGAAGATGACTGAGATGACAGGGTTATATTCAGTATGGTATGTTGCCTTTTAAATTAAGTGGCATATTGCTGGGCTTAATCCTGGTTTTGGTAGGAATAATTGCTGAAAATAAATGACTTTCTTACCATTGATCTGCAGGGATCTGAGCATCTGAAATCCTGAGATTTTCTGTTTGCATGTATGTATATAACAAAAGTATCATCAGATCGAAACTAGAATATTGCTAAAAATGTTTTCGATATTGATCAAAAATGGTCCAGGAAAAGAGTAATCCTAAACAAGACACATGGTCATGGGTCACAAAGGCTTATTCAAACAAGTTCTGATCCAAAAGGCAAGCTGCTGTTGCTCAAGAAATTAATTTTTGTTCTGATAGAAATATCTCAGAATAAAAAGTGGATCACAGGTTGTTGCATACATTTGATGGAGATAAACATAATCTTTTAAATTTGTAGATCAGTCCAGAAGGGCTGCACAAACAAGTCCAGACCTTAGAGGCCCCATCTAACGATATACTGGATTTAAAGGACCTTCTGCAAACATCTTAATGACATAATATATACTTCTTTTGTCCCAACAGAGACATGTTGCTCAGTGAGTAAACACATTACACAAGCCATTTACATAATCTTGTAAGCAAAAAACACAAAAAAATAATCAAGAAAGATATAAAATCTGCATCAGACACACTTCGCCACAGGCAATATAAAACCAGAATGAACATTTTTGCAGCTCATGTATGGCTTCCCTGCATACAACTTTATTGTGTGCAAAGATATCCAAGATATCTGGGAAACAACAACAATAAATTAATAACAAATTCATCAAGAGCCAGGAAGAGTTCAGGTCTAAACAGATCAGGATTGTTTTAGCAGCAGATCTGAGGATGAAATCTACAATTGGAAAGAATCAAAGAACAAAATCTTGCAACCTATGATAACATCTAATACTTTATATTAATTTGAAATAATAAGTATATTGTACATTTAACAATAACTGGAAAACTAAGTAGAGTGTCTGTTATATTATATAAAACCATTTTGATCAAAGGTTTTATACATAACAAAACTTGTTACCATGAACAGTCATAAAGTTAGTAAATGTAAGGATGTCTGAATGTTTTCCTGCTCACAATACTTTCTCTTCATGATAACTAACGCTCCTTAAGAACACGAATAACCAAATACACTTCAAAAGGACTTAAAGTATAGAACAGATTCAAAAGAATGAGAAATTCATTTAAGTCTTCACAATGAGAGCAGCACAAATGCACACACACACACACACGCATACACACACCTCACACAGACTTTTGGATCACTGGCACTTCAAAGGGAGGAAACCCCTCTCGGGCCAACTTCCTGCCCCATCCCACCTTGGACCATTTGCTGGCATAGCCTCGCCTGATGAGCGGGCTTTGTGAGCCATGTGGTGCCTATTTGGAGGCACATAGGTAATCATCTGAAGTGCCCTCAAAAGTAGGAGAAATTCTGGAG